GTAGTGCAGCCTGATGTGTGCAACCCACTCGACACGGGAAAACCACCGCCGCTGAAGCGCCGTACCACCAGCATGAGAGCCCACGAAGAGCATGCTTGACTGTAGTTTTTTCTCTACGCAAAAGGTCAGGAGCAGAACGATAGAACCGCTCGGCTCCGAAGCAAAAAGCTGAATATGCGCTGCATCTGCTGCCTACTTATACTCACGCTGTGATCAGCGGCAGCTGGATGCAATAATCGCATGCCAATGTGCATTGGCTCGTTTAGTTTACACTTGAAGTAGATTGGTCTCTCTAAGCGAGATCCCAATTCGTCGGTCATCCGATGTGACGTCGAGAATGACCGACTGAAAGGGAACTATAGTTTCTTATATTTTCTTAAGGGTGAGGGGTTCACAGAGGAAAGTCACTGACAACGAGTCCAAATCCAGAGCATGTTTCCATGTCACTGGTGTCATTAAAGCTGTAAAATCTCCCCCAATTTCCTCAAACATGCCCCTCTGCCTTTGTGAGTTGTGAAGTGTCAGTGACACCCGTGACACTCTCCAGCACTGGCCCCAAGGGACCCTGACTCAGCCTGGGGACAGACTGAGCTTGGGATCTCTCTCAGTTGGTCTAACACCTCCCCTGAGGCCACTGTTCAACCACCCTCACAGTCCCAAACTGTAGGCTAAGCATCCCAATTAGAATAGTCCACTGGGTATTGGGAGGAAAGCACACCTCCAGCACAGGAAAATCGATGGTCAGATGGTTGCTGAAGTGTCACGATTTGCCTACAATGCTCAAAGGCCGTGGCCAGCTTCATCATGACGTGCTGGGAACCGTGACCATAAAGCACAGGCACCTATTACCATGGTGACAAAGACTTGCCGCATGCAGTAGTTTGAGCTCTCATCCCAGACTTTTTGACATGGCATGTCAGCTGGAGTTTGTGCGAACAGCCACTGACAGGCACTAACCTCACTTAATGACAAGGAGATGTGTTGATGAGGGAAAACGTGACCATGCATTTTTCATGAGCTCTGCACCTCAGTTCAGTGCTGTATTAAGAATGGTGCTGTTTTTTTTGTTTTTTTCGATGTTCTGGAGTTATTGTAGCTTAGGTCAAATTTATACAGTTCTGTTATCCTTATGTGTCATGCATTTATGTTTGTGTCTCTGACAGACATCTCCGCCACAGAGTTCATGGAACGTCGTGGCAGTCTGAAGAGCAGGTACGAGCTGCTGGGCGACTTCCTGTCAGACATGCTGTCTGTGGGGGCAGACGACATCAACATTTTCAGTCTGGTGGAAGTGCAGCACAGGACTCTGGATGTGAGGTTCTCCGTTCACAGCGCGCCGTTCCTCAGGGCCGAGAAAGTCCATGGATACCTTGCAGCTCATAAACAAAAAGTAAGGCTTGTCAGAAGCACGTTGATATGGATATAGTCATATTTTACCTTGTAATAAACCTAAAAGCATGCACACTTCAATGTGGAAAAATGGCAAGCTTTAACACAAATTACATTTGTTTTCACTTATTCATAACTAGATGAGACCTGATGTATTAGCCCAGCCCTCGTTGTACCTTTTCAATCAAACCTAAAGTGTCACTTCTCACACTCCCTCGCTCTCTTTTCATTGATATTACACATAAGCTCCATTTCCTTCTTAGAAAAGGCACTGCTAAAGGTAAAAGAGCTGTGATGTGAATTGGATCTAAACGCATCAGTCTCCTACGCAAACTCATTGATCAGGACCAATTACAAGGCATAAAGAGGCTTGGAAAATAGTCTGGAAATGGTGAGCTGAGATGGTGAAAGTATTACTGATGGAGGCTAGAGGTTATTAATGATGGGAATTCTAATCCTTGGGAAGAAACTACTCAAATTTTTCCCTTATTCTTTTTCTCATTCATTTCCTTCAGTTCGACTCTTTCCATTACTCTGAGCTAAAAGTAGTGGGAGAAGAAAGTGAAAATTTAGGGAGCTAATTACAGATGAACTCACTGATATGGAAAGTGAGTTGCGTGTCTCCATCCGTAGTAATTGGAGAGATTCCAAGACAAGGAATGGAAAAAAAATGTATTAGTGTAATGAAAATTGCCACGGTTGAGGTACATGCATTGGCAGGGTTTTTGAGAGAGATCAGAGAGAACAGCCAGTTCATGCTCATGCACAAAACTATTGAATCTGATGTAATTGCGTTTTTCTATTTTCGGCTGGTTTGGCGGCTACATTCACTGCATGTCGGATGTGTTGAGTAGGCCGTGTGATGTTGGCTTACAAGAGAGCTGGAAGAAATGAGTGCGCACAGTAGGAGAGAGACAGAGATGAGCCCCTCTCACGTCTGTAACTTTTAAATGATTCTTAATGGACTGCCATGATCTCCAGCAGTCCTTTCTCTTCCCCTTGCTTTCCAACTCACTCCCTTGCTGCCACAACGCACACTTTGAAGAGCTCAGGATTCCCCCGCGGCCGTGCTAGGATGGGGGAAGCAGATTTTCAGAACACACTGCTCATCTCCCAGGGGTGCGCCCTTCTATCTCACCCCCTAACACCCCTTCTGCAATACACACAACTGAAATGCCACCCTGTGAAGTGTCAGACGCTGCACAAAAACACATACTGTTGTGTCAAGCTCAAAAACCAAAAAGAAATCTCCCTATGGTGATAGTGAGTCCTGATGAAAGACTAAGAGTCAATAATAAACACGGGGGGAAAGAAATTCCAGGGAAGCTTGTTATTTGTTGTGAAATATGAGGGTGAATCAGTTCAAATGCAAGCTTGCATTTAGGTCTTCAGCAGACAAAACTCCAATAAGTTTGCAAAAAAAAAAATTTGTTCTCATAAGACTAAAATGGCATGTTCCAGAAATAGTGCACCTATAGCGAGCAGGTCAAGATGCAGAAGGAACCGATGAGGATGAACGAAGAACAATTACAGCCGTTCTCTACATTTAATCAGATGCCAATGAATTTCCCACTCTATTTGAGTGCACATTATGAAGGAGAGGAAATACAATTATTTTAAAGCTTTCAGCTGGATCTTCGCTGTCAGAGCCATTTCAAACTGGCCTTTCTCAAAACCGCATCTCATCACCTTGGCTTTTGCAGAAATCTTCGTAATTACAAATCAAACACGAAGGCAGTGCATTTTGCCTCTGCCCTTTTGTTCGACTTTATTCAGGCAATTGTTGACTCGCGCACACCCACACTATTTCTTTTGTTTTGCTTTTTTTTCTTGCTTTCCCTACTCTTTTCTCTCAGAATAATTTTTAAATTACTACTTGGTTTGTTGCATCTTTAAGTGCTATGTGGTGCAGCACCTCCCATCGATCCCTTTCCCTGTTCCATATAAACCTTTCATGAATTTAGATCAGATTTAACCCTTAAATGCATACCTTGGGTCTTTAGCGACCCGGGGCATCATTCTCTACCCTCTCCGTTCTTCATTTTTTTAAAGTTAGACATCAACTTTCTTAGTATTCCTTAATCTATTCATTATAAACAATATAACAAGAAAAAAATAGTAAAATATAAAAGAATGTCTGTTTTCTGATACATTTTTTGTAAAAAAGTGTATAGGGTCGCTAGAGACCCGAGGTATGTAAATGTGCAAGTATTTTTTCCTGCGCGATTATATTTACATATCTGATGACTCAATTTGTGAAATGCATCTTTTTTCCTCAAGGTGACACTGTTTGATACACAATGATGACGTGATGTTTCACTCATAATTACCGCAGGCATTAAACAAACGGATATCATCAGCAAAAATTGGTCTGAATGGCTTTACTGCAGAGCAATTACTATACGCAATGAAATATAAATGTCACTGCCATTTGATGCTGGATGTCTGACGATGACAGCGATGGTAAAATCATCTGCTCAAATTGAACCCTTTTAAGTTTCAAAAGGAAACAAAATATCCTTTATTTTATTATTCTGTAATTGTTCTTAAAATATCAAGATAATTGTTTGCTATTGCAGCAGTTAGAGGTCCATCCGTGCTGGATATATAGGTCCGGGTCGCTAAAGACCCGAATATGTAATAATGATTGGCAAAACATTCATGCATTTAAGGGTTAAGTGAATGCTTGTTCCTTCAGGTTGGCTTTGGCAAGAGAGGACCTCTACTCTTTATTTTTGAAAAAAAGAAAAAGCTCAGTCATGTATAACAGGATCGGTTCCACACCTCACCATGCCTCTCGCTCACTCGCCAAAACACCTTTTGGCGGTTGTTGAACCCATTCTTCAAAAATCAAATGTTTAAGAAATACACACTATTTTGAATCATACAACAGAAACATGAAAAGGCCACTGGTCCAACATGAAGGTTAGTGCCTGTAAGCAGGGAGCACAAAACAAACTCCAACCATCCTACCAGTTTGCCTGTTTATGTGTGCATGTAGATCCCACTTTGTATATCTCTTGGGTGTCATCATGTGCTATCATTGAGCCTCTGGAACAGTTTCCCCTTAGGGAATTCTGGGTATTGTAGTTCCAATCCCGACGGGCACCCCAGAGGGCCTCTGAGAAATGAGCTGACAGTACGATCGAGCAGGAGACGGGCAAGAAGTTCCACGCTTTCCTCCAGGAATAGGGAGAGAGAGCAATAAACAGAGAGTGAGAAAGAGAAATGAGAGCATCCAGAAGAAGGATTATACAAGGGAGTGGGTGTATCTTCTCTGCTGTGTAAGCTCCCGTTACCTGAGCCTAACTGCCTCATATAAACTAATGGTTTATTAGTTGTCTGCGAGTGCAAAATGAAATGCGAGACCTCAGAGTTGCAGTGTTTAACGTCCGAGGTAATACATGCAAATCGCCTCCTCAAGCAGGCATGAACGTGGGAGTCAGACTTGAATGCTCAGTGGAGGATCCACATTGTGTGTGTGTGTGTGTGTGTGCATTTTGTGTGTCCATAAATACCCAGAACCATGAAAATAGGCAGAGAGAGTCAAGTGTGTGTGAATGTTTAACACCAGTCATCTCTACGCTCTGCAGCTTCAAATGTGTATGTGTGTTTGTGTGTGTCTTGAAAACACACAACTCCAGGATCTGATCCACGGGGACTCTGCATTGCAGTAAAGTGCAGGAGTAGATCTGCAGTCAGTTGGGCATACACACTTGAGATACACATGGACACTCGAGCCATTAAAGGTCAATTAACGGAATTCAATGAGAGATCACACTGATTTTGATTATATGTTTAAAACTACGCATTATTGGTTTCACGATCAGTGGCCCAGAAACACAGAACAATTAACAACAACAACAACAACTAACTAAATGCTTCTACAATTGTGTGAATTTATGGCACTTGTAAAAGACCTATAGTGCTTAGTCTCAAATTGTTTCTGTTAAATTTGAGCCACAGAGGCTTATGTAGTCTGCTTTGTCCTCTGCTTTGATTATGGTGTATAGGCAGTGTTGGGGAAAGTTACTTTTAAAAGTAATGCAGGACAGGAGAGCCGTCAATCAATAAATTGGAAAAAAAAGTAACTTATACTTATTTGAAAAAGTAACTCAGATATTCTCTTGTAAATTAAAATATTCTATATTATTTGATGTAAAATAAAAGATAAATTGTAAAAATAAAATCCCTACTTTCAAATGCTAGGCATTACAACATATAATTATAATTATATCATATGTAATTATATATTAAATCCAATTATATAGTGTTGTATATAACAATTATAATGTTGTAATGCCTAGCATTTGAAAGTAGCGATTTTACTTTTATTGTTGATTTTTTGTTTTTTGTTTTTTCCCCAGAAGTAATATAGAATTTAAATACTGGCCTTGTATGATTGATTGATTGATTGTCAGTTTCTATCATCTTGTCCTGTTCAATCTGTAAAAACGTTATTCTCAGTGTGCTTTATTCTGGTTAAAAAAGGTTACTAAATAACTAACATAAATTGTGCATGTCCACATTATGTCTGTAAGGTTTTCTGTATTTAAACTCATGAAGTCATGAAGTGACAACCTCCCCTCATGTTTTCTCTGTTCGATCTCTTCAAATGCCACCCCGCATTCGGACTCTGGACTGAAATGAGTATTAGAGAGGAGCGGCACAGTACCAAATAGGGCTGGCAATGTGTGATGAGGTGGATCTGAAGTTAATGGTGCCATTAAATGCTGAACACAGCTCTCTTCAATATACCCGTTTCATCCTGTGTGCATACGCAAAGGTGTTTGCACAAAGAAAAGAGGGGCTATGAATGCTGCTAAGGTATGCCAACTAGGGCAGTCATAATATCAGATTTTGACTGCATCATTACGAACTGTAATTATTTTTTATAATGATATTCTACTGTATAAAAAAAATCTAAAATTAGGCATTCATCTTTGCATTTCCTGCAGACTGGGGTGCAGACTAACACCCTGTCTTAAAAAAAATAAATAAACACACTGGCAGGCTAACTTTTATCTTTTAACTTTTATCTTACTTATCTTACTTTTTATCTTATCGTATACGTTTAATCTCTTCCAACATGATTTTGTGTAGCACTAGTATCTACGCACTGTGTTGTCATCATCTTTTTCCATTTTATGACAGATGGCAACCTGTGTTAAGGTGCAAAACTGCCACCTGCTATGTTTAATTGCTGGTTACTGCAAGTGGATTATTTACAATATTATTGTATATGTAGTATCAACATATCAATATTTTATTTTTTAAATATCATGGTTATCGTCAGTACCGGTATATTGCAACACCCTAAGCACCAACCTGCAGATCGCCTGCCATTTCCATCGTCTGCAGGGCACTCAGGGAAGTCAGTGAGCATCTCATTATTGTGCCCTTTCAGTTCTCCCACATATTCCTCATGTACACTTTATTTCTCCTTTTATTTAATATTATATGTTCATTTTTATTTAACATAAGACTGTTTCAGAGGCCTAACGCTGCTCCCACTATGTCTGTTCTCACCCCACCATAGCACATTGTGACATTTGCCTGTCCACTCCTGTTGTGCACATTTCACCGTACCCCTGTGCTCCCTGAGAGTGTCCCCTTCAGATCACACATAAAATCAACAAAACCAGCATCATCAATCACCCACAGCACTGTGCCACAGCGGCTGCGTAGAAAATAACTCTCCATGAGCAACCACCAAGTCAGAATAGTGTCCCAGCAAATAGGTCCTAGCTAATCTTGGAGCAGTTATCACCTTGCACATCTGTCTCTATCTTCTCTCGGTCTTTATCTCTCGATATCTCTGGTTTCTTCACCCCTTCATTTCCCTTTAAGTGTGCTGGCCGCATGAGTTAGTGGAGGACAGGTCAATCACTGTGTGACTGCTCAGTCCCCTGAGCAAACTGCAGCACTTCAGACGTTGTATTTGAATAAATGGTGTGAAAGTTAAGAGGTTTTGTGGACATGGGGTATCTGCACGCCGTTTATGTGCTTGTGGAAAAGCAGAGGCTCTGGAGTGCACAGTGTGTCCAAGAATGAAATAGAGTAAGCGTGCACCATTGACTCTTAACGCACTTCAATGCAATACGAACAAGTAGGTTTGGGGTCTTTTTGGTTAACTTGGTTGTACTTGTTTTGCTATTTGAATGCTAATTTGAGGGTAGCTCAGCTGAAAAGATTGGTTTGGATTGCTGTGATACTGGCCTAGCAGTCTAAGTAGGTTAACCAGCAAGACTCCCGTGGTCAATGAGCTTCATGAGGAAGACCTTCCTAGTTTTCTGACCAACTAGACCAGCTCTAACCATGTAACCAGCACTGGGCTAGCATGGAAGTTACAATGAGATGCTTACTGAGAAACACATTTATGGGGGGGGGGGGCTTTGTG